CTGCTGAACTATTGTGGGGTTTGAATGTTGTTTTTGTCCCTGAAACTGAAGGGGAATCCCTCAGGGATGGAGCCTATGAAGCAAGGGGCATACCTGTTCCCTCTTTCTTTGCCCTTCTTGTTTTTCTTCTTCATATATCTATTTGTATTTCTGGGTGAGACTCAAAGCATATTACAAAGTTAGACTAAACAATATAGGAAACATAGGTAGGATATACTGTAAACAATGCAGCAACTGGAGAACAAATGATAAAAATCAGTGCAGTACTAACAGGTTAACGTATATGGCAAATGTTGCAATAAACGATAACCCTGTTCCCTGTATGAAAACACCGTCCTGACCAATTCCGTTCACTGCAACCCTGTATCCTTTGTAGAACTGCCCTTCTGAACAATTTGGTCATACACCTTCTTTGGAACGACAGAGGCCTTTTTGACCTCAGCTGGCAGGCCATTCCGTAAGATGGGAGCCATGACAGAAAATCCACTCGTACAGGCAGCTGCTGGTCTTACCCATTTGCAAGGAGGCACATTCAGAACATTTGTTCAGTCGCCTGCAGCTGTGGGCATATTGGAAGAGGTGGTTCTTTCAGTAGGTACATCTTAGGCCAGTGTTCCCTAACCCTTTTAAGCCTGTGGGCAACTTTGGAACTCTGACACAGGGCTGTGTGCTCAATCACAAACTGGCAGACACAGGAGGTGGAGCGGTAAAAGCAGGTATTGATAATGATATTTGTTTGCTATGTGTGAAAGAGCCGCATGTGGCTCCCGAGCCACAGTTTGGCCACCCCTGGCTTATAGCATCATTCGCCCCCTTTTTCTGCCCTCTCAACGAGGCGGTGAAGCACAGGTTAGGCTGGAAGTGTGCGAATGGCCCGAGGTCACCCAATGAGCTTTCGTGGCAATGTGGTTATTCAAACCCGGGTCTCCCAAACCCCCATTCAGTGCTCTGACTACTCTACCATGCTGGCTTTCATATCAGTCATGTCGGCTTCTTTTGATTGGTGTGGGACACAGTAAATAAAATTTCAGAGTTGTTAAGAATGCCAGACCTGCCCTGGTTACTGAGTTTACGAGGGGCAGTGTGATACCAACACCACTGAGTTCTCTGAGTGTGCGTCCCTTTCTCTTTTAGAAGTGAATGGCTGCCACACACTCCTATGGAAAAACAGTGGCACTTAGAATAGCCTTGCAGAAACCTCTGGGCTGACCAGGCCTCCAGCACAAATGCAATCCGTTCTTGTGTGTGGAGCATTCTTATGGGGGTCCATGTGATATACAAGCCACAGTAATTGACAGTTTGCACTTGATCTTAGCCAAAAGGCCGGAAAGTACCTTCAAAAGAAGAGACTATACATAAAATACTCGAAACCGCTGAAATGGATAAATTAACTTAATTCTCAGAGGACGAGATGAAACAAGCTTTGAAAACACATGGGCAAGATTTTACATTTGGTTAAAAGGCTATAATAAATGAACAATATTGACACAATAATTAATTAGAACAAATAATAAAATGTATGTTAAATTATAATGCAAAATAATTTTCAAAATATATGGTGATTCAGTTGGATAATATTTCAAATGGTTAATGTATGCAGTAATATAAAACTTAAATGAAAGATTATATGTAACCCCGGACTTTATGCAACTATGGCCCCGGTCACACGGGTCAGATATCACGGAGGGGAGGCGTGGCTGTTTGCCCCGCAGTGAAAAAACGCGCAACTGCGCGATCAGGCATCCCCTCGCGGTCCCCGTAGAGGTCCTGTGGTTAGGGGGGAGGTGCTGATCACACGATGCGCCAAAGAAGCGGCGCGGCACGGCAAACGGGGTTGTTGGTTTTTTTAAAAAAAACCTGAATTATGCGTATGTCCCGTTGTGTGCTTGTGCACATCCCTGGAGACTTCGGGGGGAAAAAACCTTTTCGCAATGGGGCATGGGCGGGCGCCGGATGCCACCGGAAACGCGATCAGACGCCCGCCCTTGCCCCGCGGTTTCCGGAAACTAGTACCTCCGAGGTACTAGTTTTTTGCTGTGCATCTTCGGAGGGAAGCCTCGGTTGAGCCATGGGAGCTCTATGCTTCCCAGATGTGGTGGTGACATCGCGCCCGAAAAATCCACCTATCTTCCGTCGCAGTAGCGTGGCTACTGCTCCGTGTGACCGCAGCCTAAGTCTGTCTGTCTGTTTGTCTCATATAAAATAAAAAACTTTTTTAAAAAAGTAACTGACAGTTTGCTAGGTAATAAAAATAATAACCTAACTGTCATCCAGAACACACATGAAGTTGACTTAGGCTGAATCAGACTGGCAGTAGCTCTCCAGGGTTTTAGGTGGAGGTCTTTCACATGACCTGCCACTGGATCTCCTTAACTGGAGATGCTGAGGATTGAACCTGGAACCTCCTGCATGCCAAGCAGAGGCTTTGCTACTGAGCCACAGCCCTTCCCCAAAGCCATCCCCTGGTTTTTCTGGCTATACAACGAACGACGTGGTTTTAGATCTGGAAAGCACGCCATCTCATCTTTAGCACTGCGAGCACTTTACTGCTAACTGTGAATTTCATGTAATATGAATGAGTATGTATCTCATGTAGTTTTAAATTTTTATGGTTATGCCAATTAGGTACATTGTACCGCTTTGTTAGCCGCCCTGAGCCTGTTTGCAGGATGGGCGGGGTAATAGTATAATTAATAAATAATAATAAATAAATGAGTCCTCCTGATGTTCATTGGGGGTTTTCTCTCTCCCCTTTTCTTGACAAGGATTTCTATTCATCAAACCTGCTCTCATCTCCCAGCTGGAGCAGGGAGAAGAGCTATGGGTGCCAGAGTCCCTGGACTGGGATGCTGCAGAGACCTTGGACACTTCAGGTGAAGGATCAAGGTAACTCCAGTCTACGTTTTATTCAGAAGAAGTGGACTAGTCCTCTAGAAGATCCTGCATCCTTAACTTGTACGTGTATATGAAGCTGCCTTATACTAGGTCAGAGCACAGATTCATTTATCTAAATATTGTCTTGTCTGACTGTCAGTGACTCTCTGAGAACTAGCTTGGCATAATGGTTAGAGCACTGGCCTAGGATCTGGGAGACCTGTGTTCAAATCCCCACTCTGCCATGGTAGCAGTCCATGTGACAGCAGGCCAGTCACTCTCTACCTACCTCACAGGGTTGTTGTGAGGATAACAGATGAGGGAAGGATGTTGTAAGCCACTTTGGATCCCCCTTGGAGAGAAGGGTTGGGTGCAAATGGAAGTGTTGCCTTTAAATGCTCCCTGAGGATAGTGAAGGCGAAGAAACTAGTGTTTGTCTAGCTGGACCAGGACTTGAGTGATCATGTGAGAGCACCGACGATATCCAGAGAAGTATAAGTAGAACCCGTTTTACGTTTCCGAGGACAGGTTGTTTGTGGCAGTCTAGTTTGATGAGGACGTAACTCAAGATGCTTGTAATTCCTTGGTAGATCAGGTCTGAATGCTTCCTCCTGTGTTAAGAGAACACCTCCCTACATATTCAGACCTTGCATAGCAAGAAGGCTTAGTCAGGGATCTTCTTGCCATTCTGTTTTTTTAATTCACAAAGGGCATTTTATGCAGAGGGGTTTCCAAACCCCAGCCTGCTACAGTACAGCAGCAGATACATCCCAGGGTGACTACCTTGATTAGTAGGCCTGAAATTGATTCTCTCTCTCTCTCTCTCTCTCTCTCTCTCTCTCTTTCATTCATTAAGGAAAAAAAAGAAGGAATCTCAGAAAATAATCATTTGTGTTTGTCCTTTATCTTTGTAGATGAGTACCGGAAAAGATGCTTGGGCCCCATTTGTGGGAAGTACTTAACTCAGGAATTGAATCTTGTTGGACACCAGGAACTCCACACAGCAGAAAAACCTTATGAATGCATAGAGCGTGGGATGTGTTTTGTTGAGTGGCTCTCATTTCTTAATCACCAGAAGGTCCGTAAAGGGGAGAAACCCTATAAGTGTGTGGAATGCAGAAAAAGCTTCCCTTCTCAGTCCTTGTGACCCACCAGAGAGTTCACACTGGGGAGAAGCCCTGTCTGTGGCCAGAGTGCAGGAAATGTTTTGCTCAACGTTCATACCTTGTGACCCACCAGAGAATCCACACAGGAGAAAAACCATACGAATGCTTAGAGTGTAGGAAATGCTTTACTCAACAGTCCCAGCTCCTGGCCTATGAAAGAATCCATACAGGAGAAAGACCCTATAAATGCCCAGAGTGTGAAAAATGTTTTACTTGTCAGTCAAACCTGATGACCCAGCAGAGAGTTCACACAGGAGAGAAGTGCTATAAATGTCCCCACTGTGGGAGATGTTTTACTCCGCACGCACGCTTGCTAACCTATGAGAGCGTCCACGCAGGAGAGAAGCCGTATAAATGTCCTGAGTGTGGGAAATGTTTTACTCGGCTGTCATACCTTATGACCCACCAAAGACTTTGCACAGAAGAGAAGCTTTACCAATGTTTGGAGTGCGAGAAGTCTCTTGCTGACAACTCAACCCTAGCACAACACAAGAAGGGTCCACACAGGAGAGAAACCCTATCAGTGTTTTGTATGTGGGAAATGTTTTACACGCCAGTCTCCTCTTCAGACTCATGAGAGAGTCCACATGGGAGAGAAACCCTCTCGATGCCCCGAGTGTGGGAAATGCTTTGTGAATCCCTCAGGCTTTTCGAAACACAAGCGAGTGCACTTGGGAGAGAGACCCTATAAGTGTTTGGAGTGTGGGAAATGTTTTGGTCAGCGATCGCATCTTGGGACCCACCAATGAATTCACTCTGGAGAGAAGCCCAATGCCCAAAGTGTGGGGAATGTTTTGCTGACCTCTCTGGCTTTGTGCAACACAAGAGGGTTCACAAGGGAGAGAATTCCTAGAAATGTTAAAAGGGGTGGGTACATTTTTGCTCACAGTTCGATTATAAGGCCTACTGGAGTGGAATCTTACAATTATTTAAAATGGAAAAAAAGGCAAACAAATGAGATTTTCTGACAACACCTCAAATTTTAGCAATTTCTTCCCACAGGCAGAAAATTGGCTCCTCATCAGTGATTCGTTCCTGCATTGCAGCTCCATGAAAAAGTGTGACATTTTCTTTTTGGTTGCCATACTTCATAATTCACTTCTGCTGACTCTTGACATCTTTTATTAATTCCATACAGTGTGATATCTCATGTGCTAGAATCATCATTGTGGGTTTGGAGCCCAAGAAAGTCACTCTCTCCGTGGTGATAGGGACGCAACCCAGTTTTTCCCCCCTCAGTCATCCAGAGGTGCCGCCATTTTGTTGTGATGCACCCCCTGCTGCCAAACCACCTGGCTGAGCCACTCTGTAATAATAACCAACAATCCCCCGGCAGCCTGTGTAGCTTCCATCTGTGAAGTTCCTCATGTATCATGAAAGAATGGAGAAGGAAATCTCTTAATGGAACAGAAGCAAGTTCTTCTTGTTCATTTCGCCCCACGTTTTGGGTCATTTTTGATGACCCAGTCACCAGTCCCTTCCCCAAGAATATTGGATACTTTTTTTTTTTAATCCTAATGTGATTTGAAGAAAGTTCTGTTTCGCTCACAACGAAAGCATTTAATTGGGGAGCCAAGCCATTCAGAGATACTGCTCAGGAAAGGAATTATGTATATGTAAGGGAAAAGGCTTTGTTTGAAAGGAACCCCCGTTTCCATTGAAAGAAATCCGTATGCAAGGAAAGCGACATGGAGAGGGGCTGTGATTCTGTATGAGAGCATCTCTTTTGCATGCAGAAGGGCCCAGATGTCCCAGCATCTCCAGTAGTCAGAGATATGAAAAATCTGAGACTCTGCCAATCAGAATAGACAATATTGACCGTGTTAGACTCAGTAGAAGGCATTATGTGTTGAAGGTCTTGCATGCAGAGCATTTATTTGGAAGCAGTCCCAGGATATGTTGGGTTCAATTTGTATGGCAGTTTTCCAAGTTTTGGTCACTCAGTTTACCGTGTAGGCGGTTGGGATTAACTAATGCACATCCATAGGTGGAGGCCTTTTCTTCCTTTCTCCTTGATGTTTTGTTTTGCTGTTGTGTTGTAATATTTGTCACTAGAGAAAGGCCTCTTCTTCAGCACTTGTATGGTTCCAGTGTTTCACTTGCTTGTATGATCCCACTCTGAAAATGAAGCTGTCTTACTCCTTGTGCTAAAAATAACACTGAATCCTCTGGCACCTTAAAAATTAACTTGTGTGGATTGACTTTTTGTCATCAAAAGTTTTGGCCAGCATGCTGGAAACGGATGGTATGAAATCTTGATGACTAGCTTGTGTGGATTGACTTTTTGTCATCAAAGGTATTGGCCAGCATTGTCATTGGTATGATACCCCTAGTTCAAAGCCAGCAAAGGCAAATGGCAGACTTGCTAAAAATGTTCTTGCGAAACCAGTTTCTGCAGGGAGGGGGCATCGTGGGCTCTTTCTGTCACCAGGTGGGATAAGTGGAGTGATGCAGTGAGAAGATGTAGCATTTCTTTTAACAGGACGGGCTGTCTTCATTGGTGATGACATGTCTTAAGCCAGTGTGGTGTAGCAGATTACGATCTGGGAGACTCGAGTTCAGATTCCCACTCTGCCGTGGAAGCCTGCTGGGTGACCTTGGAGCAGTCAGGCAATCTCAGCCTGACCTCCTTCACAAAGCTGTTGTGAGGATAAAATGGAGGAGGAAGGAGAGGAGACGGATGGAAACCCACTTTGTGTCCCAAATTGGGGGTTGGGGAAGGTGGGGTTTAAATGAAAGGAAAAGAGAGAGAATGTTCATGGTCATTATATCCATAAATTCCATGATAATTTTTTAATATGGCTGCTGTGTAAAGGAATTAAGATAGCAAAGGTGTTTATCCAATGATTAGTAAGGAATAATGTTTATTTCAGGGTCCTTTTACTTTGTATTTTCTACTTCCCTGTAGTTTTCTTTGCTCAAGCATTTTATCACTGTAACCTCTTTATACCTTCTGAAAACCCACCTTTCCCAATTCCCACAAAGCCTCTGGATTGGATTAACCTTTTTGCCCCCATCCTTGAAACGAAATCACCACTTCAAACAGAGCCTTGCTGTATTTCTTTACCTTTATTTTTTGTTTCTGCTGCCCCTCTCTTCTTCCCCTCCCCTTTGTTGTCAAGGTTCACTTTCTGCCCTTGTGGTAGAAACCTGAGTTGTTGTCTTTTATTTCCTCTTTGTACTTGCATCACTCAGTAATATTCACTGATGGTGCTCTAGAAATACTTTTTTAAAAGTTCCATCTGATGCCAGTCCTGCTTTGGTGTCTCAGTATTTCCATGTAACTTGCACATATTACTCAATAAACTTCATTTCTGACCTCAGTTAATCCTCAGGCTTCTCAGTCAGCTCAACATAGGCCCCGGTCACATGGGCCGGATATCGCAGGGGGGGGGGGAGGTGTGGCTGTTTGCCCCGGAGCGAACTACCGCGTGGCCGCCGAATAAAACATCCCGCCGACGTCCCGTGGTTCGGGGGAAGGTGCCGATCATACGTCAATCCTGCAGCGTGGCAAAGAAGTGGCGCGGTGGGGGTTGTGTTTTTTTTAACCGAAGTGTGCGCATGTGCTGTTGGGTGCTTCTGCGCATCCCGTGGAGACTTGGGGGAAAAAACCCTTTTCTCGACGGGACATGGGTGGGCGCCGGATGCCACCAGCTACCACCGGAAACGTGATCAGACACCCGCCCTTGCCTCATGGTTTCTAGAAACTAGTACCTCGGAGGTACTAGTTTTTTATGGCGCATCTTCAGCGGGAAGCCTCGGGTTAGCCACGGGAGCTCTACACTTCCCAGATGTTGCAGTTTGATCGCGCCCGGAAAATCCGCCTATCTTCCGTCTCTGTAGCGTGGCTAATGCTCCATGTGACCGCAGCCATAGCAAGCAACTTTTGGTCCCTTTGCTTGGGAATCTATGTTTGAGTAAGCTGCCTACAACCCCCTGCTTAACACCCTTTACCCTGATAGGATTTGAACTGAAGAAAAGCTATCTTCCCCCTTCCTGAAGTCCTGATCACAATCAGTATCCATCCTGGCCATAGCACTGTCATTTCCTGGCAACTCTTGAAATTGTGCATGATGGTTCTCCTGAGGGGCTAACTGCCACCTAGGGATGCCAGGCCACTGGGCAGCATCCCTGGGGAGTTTTAGGTGCGGGACAAGAGAATTATGATACACAACGCGTGACATCACATCTCGCTGGAAACCTGGGTTCGAAGTAAGCCTCTTTGGTGACCCTCTGGCTTTCCACTGGAGTTTTCAAGTACAGTCAGAGTGTTGCCCGATGTGCTTAAGTCACATCCAGACATAACATCACACGCCATGTGAAATCATTTCCATCCTCCTGACCTTTCTCCCGCTGGTTCAGAGAGCAGGCATGGGATGGTGGCCCTACCAGGGGAGTCCTACCACCACCTCGCGTGGGGTTTCCCCAGCAGTCACAATGTCACTTTCCCACTTATTTGACTGCACTGTGCTTCCCAGTGGGAAATTAAAAAGAGGAACATAAATTAGGTTTGAGGGGCCAAGATCTGAGCCAGAGTGAAAAACCCACCCAAGCCTGGAACAATCACAGAGGTAAAGTAAAGATGCTTGGGGTGGGTGGGTTGCTTTTTGCTTTGAATGGGGTTGACCTGCGAAGGGAGATGTTGCTAGGGCCAGCCAACCACTCGCAACCAACGGCCAAGTCCTGGATTTCTCCATAGTCACATAAAAGCAGCTGGCTTTGACAAGGAAAAGTCAAACCTGTGGTTCCAGGATTGGGGGTGGGGGGAAACGTAACAGCGTTCTTGTTCAAGGGAAGAAGAATACCTGTGCAGGACTCAATGTTCCCTCTAAGCTGTGGAGTCTTGTGAGCCAAAATTCTGCTTTGTGAGCTACTGCCATAAAAGTTGAGAGCGAGCGATTTGGCTACTGCAGAAATCAGTTTGCTCTGGAGCCATCCTCCCTGAGCTGAGACAAAAATCTGTGAGCCGGAGGCGAAAAAAACTGAGCTAACTCACACTAACTCAGCTTAGAGGGAACACTGGCAGGAATATGCCTTAAATCACCGACCAGTGACTGGGGCAGGAGTACTACAATCCCCAGCAGGCGTTGCACTTCTTAGGCCCGCAGCCGAGGCCAAAGGGGGTTGTGCTTCCAGGGGAGGATTTTCCATTGGGAAGCGCTAGAACAGCCGGCGGTTCCCCAGGAGAGGCAGCCGAGTCGAATTGGTCTCATTTGTTTCCAAAGGCAGGTCGGTGCCAATTCGCGGGGAGGAGAAGAGGAGTGTATGATGATCAGCATATCAGTTGGAGGAAGGGGCGGCCAGGAGGGGAGAGAGGGTCTTTCCTTTGTGTGCCTTAAGTTGCGGCATCATTTCTTTATTTTTGGCTTGGGACGGACGGAAGTGCCGGGGAAGAAGGAACTGTGGCTGCATTTGAGCTCTGGGGACGGGGTGGGAGAAGAAAGAAAAGCTTAGGGAGAGCAGCGAGTGAACGGGAAAGGGGAGTGTGTGTGTGTGTATGCGTGTGGAGACTGGGAGGGAGGGAGGGTGATGATGGGTGGGCTTCTTTTTGCTACTGTACAGGCAATGGATTGGGAAGGTAACAGCGTTCCGTGCACCTTGGTGTTTAGTCATGCCGGCCACATGACCACGGAAACGTCTTCGGACAGCGCTGGCTCTTCGGCTTTGAAACGGAGATGAGCACCGCAACCCTAGAGTCGGACTCGACTGGCTTTCGAGCAAGGGAACCTTTACCTTTACCTTACAGGCAATGGAGTGGCAAGGGGCGAGCGCGATCCTAGGCAGATACTCTTAAGAACATGTCCAACACGCTGTGTCGCACAGTGGCCCAAACCCAGGTGCCATCAGGAGGTCCCCCAGCAGGGCCAGAACTCCAGAAGCCCTCCCACGCTGTCCCCCCCCCCTTAAGCACTGCCTTTGTGGCCAATAGCCACTGATGGGCCTTTGCTCCATCCATACTCTTCCAGTATGAGTATCATTGACCTCTGATATCACTGACCTCCACTAGCTTTCTAGTAACCCTTCAAGCGTACAGTACCCTTTAGAGTAATACAGCCTTGGAATAAAAGGAGAATCAAAGATCATTCAGTCCGTCACAGCTTTGCTCCCATGTAGCTACTCGGGTGGTTTCTGCACATTTATGGGCATCGCGCTATCCTTCCTCTGTCACTGTCAGTTGCGAGTGATTTGACCGTCCAGACTGGAAAATTCATTTGCAAATGACTGCTACAGAGAGCGTGGATGCAGCCTGGAAGTTGTATGTGATGTCTGGCCAAATAGCGAGGAGAATGTTGTTTGATCAGAAATATGGGGAAGCAGGAGAGGGGTGAAATCTTCCTTATCCACCACTCAAGCAAGAAGGTGCAGGAGATCAGCTTTCCAGGCAGCTTTAGGCAAATGTACCCTGTGTGTGTGTGTTTGTGTTAAGTGCCATCAAGTTTCTTCCAACCTACGGTGATCCTATGAATTAACAACTTCCAGAATGTCCTGTCATTAAAAACCTAGCTCAGATCTAGCAGACTGAGACCTGTGGCTTCCTTGGTTGAGTCAATCCATCTCATGCTGGGTTGTCCTCTTTTCCTGCTGCCTCCAACTTTTCCTAGCATTATTGTCTTTTCCAGTGACTCTTGTCTTCTCATAATGTGACCAAAGTACGATAGTCTCAGTTTCGTCATTTTAGTTTCCAGGGAGAGTTCAGGCTTGATTTGATCAAGAACGCACTTATTTGCCTTGGGGGAGGGCAGTCCACAGTATCTGTCAAACTCTCATCCAATACCACATTTCAAGCTAATCAACTTTCTTCCTGTCAGCTTTCTTTGTTGTCTAACCTTATACTATGGCATAAATTGTCTTGGTTAGTAATGGGGAATACTATGGCATAAATTGTCTTGGTCACCAACGACACATCCTTACACTTAAGGATCTTTTCTAGCTTTCCATGGTACATTCATAGTAAATAGGTCACTGTCCTTACGATTTGTACTGCTGTCAGAGTAGCTATGTAGGGTTTGTTCATCTGGTGAGGGGTGGTTTTGAACATTTCTTCTATGGATTAGCAGTCTTGGGAAAGGGGCACATGGTAAAAATCTTCAAACCCTCCTTGGTTATGCTGAGAAGTTCAGCCATGTTAAATGATCATCTCTGGCTCCCCCCCCCCCTTAAACATGTCTTTCTGAATGGTCTCCCTTGGCTTTAATTTTTATTTTATTTTGTAGAGGATGATGTCCTTCCCTCAGTCTGGGTTGTTGCCGCCTCCTGGAGAAACGGAAGGAACTCAGGTAGGAGATGTTGAGGGAGCTGCTGGTCCATCTCAGGGCTCTTTTTGTAGCAGGAACTCCTTTGCATATTAGGCCACACCACCTAATGTAGCCAATCCTCCAAGAGCTTACAGAGCTCTTCTTACAGGAGCTACTGTAAGCTCTTGGAGGATTGGCTACATTAGGGGTGTGTCGCTTAATATGCAGATGAGTACCTGCTACAGAAAGAGCCCTGCGGAGATGCATGATGGGACTGAAGTCTGGGCAGAACATGTTGCATACATTTTGTCGGGGGGGGCGGGGGAAGCAAGGGTGTGATATTTTTCTTAAGTCTTGATGTTTTTCTGCTCTTACAGGTGAGTGTTCAAGCCCCGTCAGTGTGGATTTTAGGAGCCCCAGTGTCTGTTAACAATAACAGATACCTTTTAGCATGGTGTAGTAGTTAAGAGCGGCAGACTCTCATCTGGAGAACTGGGTTTGCTTCCACACTTCTCCTCCACATGAAGCCTGTTGGGTGAGCTTGGGCCAGTCACAGTTCTCTCAGAGCTCTCTTAGCCCCACCTACCTCATGAGGTGCCTGTTCTGGGGAGGGGAAGGGAAGGCGATTGTAAGCTGCTTTGAGACTCCTTTTTTTTTGGGATAATTCAACATATTGATCTTTGTTTCTCATTTAACATTTATCCATTCCTCCCTCACCTCCCCGCCCCTCAACGTGGCTTCCCGCAATGCTCCCCCCATTTACCCCTTTAAGATTTCCCTCCTTTGTTCACATCTTTGTTTTACGTTTTCCAGATAACATTTTCTTAAGGGAGAGAAAAGTGGGTATAAAAACCAACGCTTCTTCTTCTTCTTTTTCTTCTTCTCCTCCTCCTCCTCCTCCTGAAATAAATTAAGAAAAAACTGGGATACACGTCCTGATTGCACTGCACAATATTTGTAACATTGTTTTTACTTCTGTAACTATACGTGTGCGCAGAGGATAACTTCCTCTTGAAATCTGAATGCTGACACGCACACACAAACATACACTCAGACTCCTTCAGTCAGACCACCCATACTGGAGTCGATCAGTCTGAATGGATCTTCACTTCAAGCGGGTCCTCCTGACACTTCCGTTTTTTCAGTCTGCCTTGTATGTTATCCACTCAATACCCAACTGGTCAGCCATGTACAAGCGGTCTGCCCTGTGGCACAGTCTCTCAACTTCCTTCCCTGCCTTGTACCCGCTGCCTCCCACCTGGCTGATCAGATGGTAGTTCTTGCCTTTCCAAGGTGTGGCGCTGGGCTTAATCCCTTCTTCGGTCTTTGGCCATGCCACTCACACACAGCATCCTTTCCTTTTCACCTGATCCCCGACTGACCCTTTCCCAGCTGCTTTTCTTCCTCACCTGTCACTCACACCCCAGCATTCTTCTGTCTCCCTAGCAACCTAGCCTGCTCCAGTCTCATCTAGCCATTCCCTACAGGTAGCCCACTGAGAAAGGGGTTTGGGGGAAACACGATCTCCTATCCCCAGGTCACATGCAGCCTTTTGCCTCATGCCTGGTTTGCACCTGATATAATGATTTTTTATGGGATCAAGAGATGAAAGAAGCCCTGACCTCTCAGGGTAAAATTCAGAACTTTTTGGGGGAGGGTAACTCCATGATGCTCAGAAGCTAGCTAGAAACGCTGACTCCAGGTTAGAACAAAAGAGACATGAAGGTAGTTTTTGATAAGTCTGATTTCAGATGGAAATACAGCTTCTCTGGCAGAGCGGCTGCACTGATACTTTAATATGGCTGATGAAAAAGACAAGCCTTCTGGTCACTTTTTCAGTGGCATAAAGCTGGGCCTACATAGTGGCCTGTAGCATATGTTGATTGTGACTTCTGTTTGTGCTGGTAACTGCTAGGAAATGATTGTACCTTCTTGATTCTGTAGATGCTGGTCACCTTTGAAGATGTGGTGATTTACTTCTCAAAGGAGGAATGGGCTCTGCTGGACCCAAACCAGAAAGCCTTGTACAGAGAAGTCACATGGGAAAATTATGGGACTTTGGCCTCACTGGGTAAGGCTTCTTTCGATGAGGGAAGAGAAGGATTGAAAGAAGATGGGCTTCTTTGCTTTATATCCCTTCCCTTCTTTGAAGGGTGCATAGTGGACAGCAAGAAATTCAATTTTCATTTGAATCTTATTATCTCGATGTGGTAGATGATTGAGGACAGTTTACCTAAGGCCACTCAGTGCTTGGGGGACAGGGAATTGATTGTGGTTTACAATCAGCCCCAACCTGAGCAGGGTCCCTTTTGCAGCTGCTCAGGTAAAATACATGGACAACATTCCTCCGATGCAGTGCAGCCTGGCCTTCGTTTATAAGGATCCTGCATTTGTGGGATTGGGCAGAGTATCCCACCGTAAACTGGGAATATATGGCCAAGCTTCTAGCTTTTATTGCCTTTTTATTGTCTTCATTCCCTTTAGAGGTACTACCAAATGTTTCTGCCACAGTGAAAGAGATTATGCAAGTTAACAGCTTTACAGTGTGGTCCTAAACATGTATACTCAGAAATAAATGTAATTAAAGATGTGCAACATTGCAGCTTTAGAAACTCAGTCGTTCTTTAGAAGGCTGCGTCTTCGGATGTAAAGTTGCTCTAGCAACTGGACGTGTCTAGCATAAAATAGAAGTCCTGTCTCTGCAGGAGACATTTGCTTTTCTGTTGGTAACCATTCAGAGGGTATTGCCCAGTTACGGAGATGTAAACTTTCTTGAAATTTTGAAGCCAAGGAGAAAACTTTCCCCCCTGTTTGTTCTGTAAAGAAACAGACTTTGGGAGAAAAATTGAAATATACGCAATACTTTCCTTGTTATCTTCTCTTAATGTATTGAACAGCATAAAATGCCTAATTTATAACTTAGCGTATACAATTTAGCATTTGGCACATTACGTGATATAGAAACACAACTGCTTTCATTTTCTACAAGCTAAATTGTAAGTATACCCACTGCCTGAGAAGGAGCGCTGCATACTGCTGCACCCTGTCCCGTCCTAGCAGATACATCTTAATTTCTGCTCCCTGAGAGGTGGTGGTGGGGGAATTAAAAATGTAAATAGAAACTTTCATAGGAAGTGTATTGTTTGGAGAGAAACATGGGATTAGCAGCATATTGGATATTGCAGTAAAGCATATAGTACTGAAAACACTGTTCAACAGTGTACGTATTAATTGTATGTGATTTAGCCCTAATAACCCAGACTAGCCCAGTCTTGCTAGAGCTTGGATGCCAGGCAGGGCCGGCCCCTGTTTAGCACTTGGATGGGAGACCACCAAGGAAGACCAGGGTTGCCATGCAGAGGAAGGCGATGGCCTCTGCTCATCTCTTGCCTTGAAAACACCGTGAGGTGGGACTTCCTGTGGTCACCGTGAGTCTCTTATGACTTGATGAAGTAGTTTACTTTCAACATGGACATGCCTTTTAAAATATATTGTATACATCTAGGAGCTGCGGTGGCTCAAGTGGTTAAGACGCTGAACTGCAGGCTAAGGTCGGCAGTTCAGCAGTTTGAGACCCGAGTGTGCCGCATGACGGAGTGAGCTCCCGTCTCTGGTCCCAGCTCCGGCCAACCTAGCAGTTCGAAAGCAAGAAATTGCAAGTAGATAAATAGGTACCACTTCAGTGGGAAGGTAACAGCGTTTGGTGTGCCTTGGTGTTTAGTCATGCTGGCCACATGACCACGGATATGTCTTCGGACAGCGCTGGCTCTTCGGCTTTGAAACGGAGATGAGCACCACAACCCTAGAGTCGGATTCGACTGGCTTTCGAGCAAGGGAACCTTTACCTTTATATACATCTACAGGAATTATTATTACCTAACACTATAGATTGTCTTACATAGGAATCATAGGAATTCGACTGGCTTTCGAGCAAGGGAACCTTTACCTTTATATACATCTACAGGAATTATTATTACCTAAGACTATAGATTGTCTTACATAGGAATCTTCATACTACTTGTCTTGAGTCAATAACAACACCTTGTCTTTAAAAACATTTTACTCATTCCAAAAAGCACCCTCAAATTTCCAGGTTTTTCCACTGGAAAAACTGAATAAGTCATTGGTGGGGGGCTCCCAAATTTTTCTTCCAGACTATCCTCCCTCTACTGAGTTTCACATCACACTCTCCATTCTGTTCTGTCTTTCCAAGGGTATCCAGTTCCCAGGCCTGACATCATTTGCAGGCTGGAAGATGGAGAAGAACTGTGGGTGCTGGATTCTCGGAACTTGGATGTGACAGAGATCACCAGCATAAGTACAGGTGAGTTGTCCAGAAAAGCCAGTGGTTGAAATTTCACTGGCATTCTCTTGCAATTTCCTTCTTTTCCATCAGCCTTTTCCCTCAAGATCCTTCTCTTGCATACCCAGGGTGGGAAAATCTTATCCACATTTGCTTCTTACCCTGCAGGTGGTTTGAGGACAAAGATCACATGCCCAGAGTGTGGCAAATGTTTTACTAAGCAATGTAATCTTGCCAGACACAAGCAAGTCCATGTGGCAAAGAAACCATATGAATGCCTGGAGTGTGGGAAAGGTTTTGCTCAACAGCCACAGTTTCTGAAACACCAGCAAAGCCACAGCCAAGAGAAACCCTATACCTGTGAGGAATGTGGGAAATGTTTTGCACATCGTTCTGTGTTTATGACCCACCAAAGAGTTCACACAGGAGAGAAGCCCTATAAATGCCTCAAATGTGGGAAGTGTTTGGCACTGCAAGGAGATCTTGTGAGACATCAGCGACTTCACACAGGAGAGAGACCCTACAAATGCTCAGAGTGTGGCAAAAGTTTTGCTCGCCATTCAAACCTTGTGAACCACCAGAGAGTTCACACTGGAGAGAAACCATATAAGTGCCTGGAATGTGGGAAGTGTTTTGCCTGCCATTCACATCTTGTGAGTCACCACAGAATCCACACAGGAGAGAAGCCCTATAAATGTTTGGTGTGTAGGAAAAGTTTTGCTGAAAGATCTACCTTTGTAAAACACCAGAGAGTCCACACAGGGGAGAAGCCATATCAGTGCCTAGAGTGTGGGAAGTGTTTCGCTCAACATTCCAACATTGTGAAACACCAGAGAATCCATACAGGAGAGAAGCCCTTTAAATGCATGGAGTGTGGGAAATGTTTTACACGGCGCTCGTATCTGATGATCCACCAAAGTGTCCACACAGGAGAAAAGCTTTATAAATGCCTAGACTGTGGCAAAGGTTTTGCTCAGAACTCAACTTTGGTGCAACATATGAGAGTCCACACAGGAGAGAAGCCTTTCAAATGCCTGGAATGTGAAAGGTGTTTTGCTGAGAACTCTAGCCTTGTGAAACACAGGAGGACCCACACAGGAGAGAAGCCGTATCAGTGCCTGGAGTGCGGAAGACATTTTGCTGACGTCTCAGGCCTGGTGAAACATAAGCGAGTCCACACAGGAGAGAGGCCTTACAAATGCCTGGAATGTGGGAAATGTTTTACTCAGAATTCAACTTTGGCCCAGCATAAGAGACTCCATACTGGAGAGAAGCCTTATGAATGCCTGGATTGTGGAAAATGTTTTGCTGAAAACTCAAGCCTTGTGAAACACAGGAGAGTCCACACAGGAGAGAAGCCCTATCGGTGCTTAGAGTGTGGGAGATGTTTTGCTGACAATTCTGCCTTTGTGAAGCACAAAAGAGTCCACACAGGAGAAAATGCCTATACATGCCTAGAATGTGGGGAGTGTTTCTCTCAACAGTCAGCCTTTGTGAGTCATCAAAGAATTCACTCAGTTGTAGACACTGTGAAGTTATAAAAAAGACAGAGAGGTGAGATAGGGACTTAGGACCTTAAAGCTACCAAAGCAGTTCCCAGGCATGCAAGTGTATATTTACCATCACTGACCCCACTCTGGTCAATCTTTGACAAGGGAAAAAAGCATTTGCCATGAATAGAATCAGATGTGATTAAAGTTAATATTCTGGACGAGAACTGCTTGTCGGTGGCCCTGGTTCATAATGAGACTTTGCTCAACAGGCGTATGGATGTCCTGAGAGTGGTAGAAGACTTACTCAGAAGAAAATAGTCAAGGTGCATTGGCATAATCGATGTATGTATTTGTCTGTCTGTAGGTTTTTATGTAGGTGTTTGCAATTGCTAGTCTGTTGTAATACTTGTATCTATCACTACAGAGCTCTATGCTTCTCATTGGTCTGTTGTAATACTTGTATCTATCACTAGAGGTCACTACAGAGCTCTATGCTTCTCATCCACTCCCACCTTGCTTTTTTTATGTCTATGCGAGACTATCCATGAGAAATATACCCAGCAGTACTGCACCAGGAAGTGGATTTGAAAGGGTAGGCATAAAAACAAGGAAAATACTATGGCAGTGTTAGGATATAATAACATTATTTGAAGGAGTTTATTATGACACTTGGGTTGGAAGGCAAATCACTGCAGTGGAGCTCTATGCTTCATGACAAACTGACGTCAAGGATATTATTTAAAAATCAATTTTCAGAAAAAAAAGTAAGTTTGATGAGAGAGAAAAGATAAGGCTCCACATAATCAGTATTTTGCATGTTGAGTATTGAAGCAACTGCAGTAAGGTCCAGTAATCTGATTGAAAGTATGGCCCCGGTCACACGCGAGGATTTGGGCCAGGAGAGGGACAGATCGGATGTGTGGCAAATGGGCGCGATCCTGCGGCAACATCTGGGAAGTGTTGCGTGCCCGTCACTGATCCGTCCCTCCCGCCCAAAACCCCGCACCAAAAAAGAACCACCTACCTGAGTGGTTCATCCGGAAAGGCCGCGGCAAGTGCGGCTCCTGGCTGAACTGCGCATGTGGTAGACGCTCAGCCACTGAGACACGGCACCTCCTTAATTCATGGACTGGGGTGGTGAAAAGGCCATTGTCTCCCATGTGCAGCTGCCTGTATGAAAACATTATCCTGGTGCCCTTTGTGAGTTAGGTGGGTGCCCCCCCCCCTTTTCCCTTCGCTACTTGTATTTGTGACAGAGCCTTTATCTGTTGCCGTAAAGGAGTAATGAGAAGTTTCAAGGCTATATGTGTTAGAGAATCTGTCTTTAAAATCATGCTTTCTACAAACTAAGTCGCACTTAACGTTGACATATCAATCAGATTCACTTAAAGAGTCGTTTGAGACCTTAAATGGTTTCGGACAACAAAGATGAACAGCTTGGTATTCACTTATCTAATAGCCATAATCCGGGTTTCCCATATGTGCTCCATGGAGCCCTGGACCACCCAGTGGGTCCAAGGGGTTCCACGAGGCTGTAGCCTTCTGTGATGCAGAGGCTGCTTGCTTCGAGCCAGAAGTGAGCCAGACGGAGACTCCCTGCCTCCACTTCCCACGCTACTGGCCCTGCGTAGGGAAGGTTGAGTAACCATGCCCAGAGATTGCTCGTGTTGTGCCAGCAGTGGGGCAAACAGAAGCGCATGGAGCAATTCTTCATGACACTCCTGGACCAGAGCAGCTATTGCAGAGGGCTTGGCTGATGCCCTCCTTCCTTGACCTGTGTCCGTCTTGCTCCCTCTGTTGTCATATGAGGACACTACTGGCTTGTTTTTTTTCCCACCCATAGCATTTTAACAGTAGTAAAAGATGAATGTCACTCGTGTGGAAACTGGGATTTTGGATTTTCTGTATCTGAAACTGATTCCCTTCTCAGCTGAGATATCTGCAGCCGCTTTACATAGCACTTGCGTTGCTCTCTTGTATAGTGCTTTCCCTCTACAAACGACATCAGTTCTTAGGTGAAGAATCCATTTTTAGTAACAGCAGCCGAGCTGGTTCGTTTTATCAGGTCAAGACTCATGACAACCTGATGAGACATGACTGCCAGTGCACGCAAAATATGGAGCAATTCTTCATGACACTCCTGGATCAGAGCAGCTATTGCAGAGGAAAGCCTGGGAGCTTCAGGCAGCCTGGGTTCCTACTGCATTGAGCCAACCAGCAAGGAGGCATGGAGCCAAGTGGGAGGGATGAGTGTCTTCGAAAGGAGGAGGGGCCTGCCTGCCTTTGCCTCCCTTTCTCATTTTTTTTCCTGGGCTTGGCTGACGCCCTCCTTCCTTGACCTGTGTCCGTCTTGCTCCCCCTGTTGTCATATGAGGACACTACTGGCTTGTTTTTTTTCCCCACCCATAGCATTTTTACTAGTAAAAGATGAATGTCACTCTTGTGGAAACTGGGATTTTGGATTTTCTGTATCTGAAACTGATTCCCTTCTCGGCTGAGATATCTGCAGCCGCTTTATATAGCACTTGCGTTGCTCTCTTGGATAGTGCTTTCCCTCTACAAACGACATCAGTTCTTAGGTGAAGAGTCCGTTTTTAGTAACAGCAGCCGAGCTGGTTCGTTTTATCAGGTCAAGACTCATGACAACCTGATGAGACATGACTGCCAGTGCACGCAAAATTTCAATAAATTCTTGCGAATGGATTTTTGGAACCATATGATTCAAGAATGCCCAGATGTTGTGGAATGTGCAGTTTGTGAGCTTCTCCCCTACAACACGTGTTGTAAGATCGAATTTTTGTATTACACTGCGACAAAAACAGAAGATAGGAACAAACTTGATGTTGAACCTAGTATAAGAATCCAGCTTTCTAGTATCATTCCTGATATTAAATGGATATGAGAAGAACAAAGGCACACTCTGTTCAGTACAATATGTAAAAAATGTATCTTCAATAACAATGGTCCTGTTATTTTGTGACTATTTTTTGATAGGTTTCTTGTACAAAATGTAAAGAAATACAAAACAAAGTGGAATTCAAAAATGGTGTCTATTTATTTGGTTACCTGATGACTTAAAAATCACTTTTTAAGTGTTCCATCAAATTTCCCAGCCAAAATAGTTTGGAAAATCCTGGCCAAAATGATGAGTTGGCCAGTTTATGTGTAGTACCATAGAAATATGGACTGGTTAAATATGTAGGTGTTTGGTTTCAAATATTCTGTGCAGGAGGTTAGCGTGGGAGAATTCCACTTGAAGGTCACAGAAATGCACCCATTTATAATTTGGATGCATTTCATGCAAAAGGCACATCAAGCAAGGTCCCTATTTTTAGACTCATTGAAACGGATTTAAATACGGTCAAACATGCAGCTGGTGACATTCTGTGATGGGATAAATGAAATAAAGAATTGTTACAAGAATTAGAAGCAGTTCATGAATTATTGGAATAGGCAGTTTCATCACAATGTGTCCCTGATGATTTTCGGACTTTAAATGAGAGATTAAGGGTATTGGGTTGGGCATTTTATCATCTATGGTGGACATGTAACAAAGCCAAAAAATGTGGATACAAATACATTCATTAATCCAGAAGATTTTAAAGAAGAAAAATATACAATTGAAACCAGAGGCTCTTTTGTTAAGACTAATGGGCAGACAGCTAGAAAACAGATATGGGACTTTGTTTTTATATATGACAGCATCAGCAAGGTTATTATATGCTCAAAAATGGAAAAGTCCAACATTACCTACAACAGAGGACTTTGCTGAGATGGCTAAACTCACTTCTTTGATCAGAGAAAAAGATATTATCTACAGTTTTTGCTAACTGGAAACCCCGTAGAAACCCCATAGACTTTTTTACATGATATAGAAAAAAATGAATTGATGATTTGTGGTTTTGAAGACTAAGGGGGGGTGGATTATAGGAAAAAAAGGTTTATGTGTTTGTAATTATAGAGTAAGTATGAATTTTGTTTCTTTACAAATACTTGCTGTAGAGAAAATTGGAAGTGCTTCCTTTATTTTTCTTTATAATCTTTATTTTTCTTTGTTTCTCTCTTATTCTTTTCTTTTTATTAGTGCTGGTTATTTTTTATCTGTTCTTTAAGAAAACAATTTCAATAAATTTTTATTTTTAAAAAAGGATATTGGGTTGGATGATGAACCGATAGAAAGAATCTTCTGAATCATCCCGTTATCCATTGATTTTGCTATTAATAGCTACAATAAACATTTGGCTTGTTAAGAGGCATTACTACATTTTAGCTTTCAGCTCTATAAAGTTTTGCTTGTTACTGAAATACCTGTGCCTCTGTGAAAAATAATAAATCCCATATCAACTTGTCTAAACCAAGTTGTTGAAGAATGAACTTTCATTTTAGAAGGGCCAGCTTCATCAGCCGTTTCTAGGAAAAGGTTCTTGGCAGGTTGACCAAGAACTGCTTTCGTTAGTGCATGCACACTTCTTCAGATACACTGAAACAAGACTTCCTCAACCATTACATATAGAGAGACTGCACTCAAATGTTGTTCTGTTTTTTTGGGTTTTTTTAATAAAATTTTTTATTTCATAAAACAACCCAACACCAACACCACCCTAGTGCAATTTCCAGGCATTTGAGACATCAAAAAGAATTCCATACATTGTTATATCCCAATCAAACTCTGTACAACTCTAATACTCTAATACCCTTCCATAATAATCTTATACTCAAATTAACCTCTCAAGTTTCCCCGGCTTGCGTCCCTCAGGCTCCTGCCGCGCTGCGCCGTCTTGCACTCACATCGCCTGAGCTCCGCCTCCATCCGGTCTGGTCCGGTCGCCGCATCCCTGGATTGCCGCCATTGTTGTTGCTGCTATCACCGCCGCCGCCAACACTCCTGGCATGGAACCAGGAGGTGGGTGCCCCCTGCCACCTAGGGCAGGTACCCATTTATCTACTTGTTTTTTTTTTTTACTTTCGAACCGCTGGGTTGGCGGGAGCTGGGATGAGGGTCCGGAAGCTCACTCCGACCGCGGTGGGGTCTCGAACAGCCATTGAGGCTGTTCGCTATAGTTGTTACTTTGCAGGCGATGTACTGCCTGCGCCACTGCACCGCTTTCATTAGTGCATGCACACTTCTTCAGATACACTGAAACAAAACTT